AAACTTCTTAATCGCCTCTTTGATAGTTGCTCTCTTCCTCGCACTACCCATCTCCCTTACATTCCAGCTTAGGATCCGCATTTCAAATTTAGGCTTCAACCCTAACTCACCCGAGATTTATTTAATCCCTTTCCTTCTCTCCCCTCTCACCCCAAACTTCTTATCCCCCTCAATATCTCTCTTAAACCTCTCAACCTCACTCAGTTTTCTTCTCTTAATCTTACTCTCCTCCTTTTTTTGTAGAAAGGCTTTTAGGTCATTTGGGTTCTTAAGTTTACACCCTAGCTTGCCAACAAATTCTGCTATTGAGTCCTCCTTACTAGCCTCCCCTCTTTTAATATCTTTGAGCTCTCCACTCCTAGCCATCTCCTCAACTCTGCCCTCAGCCTCCCCACTATAATCCGATTCTGTCCCAGTTGTAGCCTTCCTCCATAATTCATTTATTTCAATTGCTCCCATTATACTGTCAATGATTCCCCAAATTCTTTTATCCCTGCAAGTTCCCTCCACCCTCATCTCCCCTTCCAACACCCCGTGAAAACTTCTTGTGGTCTTTTGACTATGGGCTTCAGACTCTGAACTAGGGAGGGAATCTGGAACAAGGGACACGGCAACCTCATCAATAGAAAAAAATGAATTTACAGAGTTGACAGATTTACCTGAAACTGACCGGGAGTTTAGAGGGGAATGCAAGGGAAGACAGGTGGAAGCCAAACCCAGTAAAGAGAAATTGGTGTTTTTTGTCTCCTCGTTTTGGAGGGAAACAATCCCCGTCATTTGGTTTACACACAGGTTGCTTCTCTTACCCGACTGTTTACCTCTCAGAGGTGTATCCCCGTTCAGTTTTGGGTTAACACAATCTGCCACCATCTCGGTTTCTTGCCTAGCCCCAAGACTTGGTGAAGGCTTATCCCCTTGTGGGCATTGGAATTGCCCCCCGTCGGTTTGACCTGCGTTGTTGGCTAACACTGGTTTTTCCTTCCGATCTGCCCCAGACTCCACTTGTGCGCACTCCCAATCTCCAAGAAAGAGACCCATCAGATTTAGAGTCTCCCTGTTTTGATCTCCTTGGAGTTCATCGTCTTCCAAACTCCCTTTGCTTGAAATTTCTTCTGAACTCTCCTCCTCATCTTCACTTTCGGAACTACACCTTAACCAACCCTTATCATCCTCCTCCCTTTCTTCTGTTCTGTCCCTCAGGTATCGCGGAATTGGGCGATCTACTGCAGGAGAGAGCTGTTCGTCGACATCCCGCCGAGAGACCCAGCTCAGAGACTTAGTTCCAGCTTCTGTTCGCCGCCCCTAAACCTGGTTCGTTTCAGACACACCTGATTTGGAAGATGATAGACGGTAAGTCTTGTCTACCATCTCCCTCTCCTTAACCCGACCCACGTGACACCTTAAACTGTCACGTGGCTCACTTAAAGTCTTCAAAGGTCTAAAGGCTGGGCCGCCCCTACTTCCAGCCAGTTCAGATAGAGCCACTCGGTTGAGACCGATCGGGCCGGCTCCTCTCCTCCTGCGACTGTTCCTCAACCCTTTTCACACTGCCAAACTTCCGCCTCTCCATCCATAGCTTGCCACGTGTCCTCCACCCTGCCACTTCACCATCATCCCCTACCTCCGTTCTTCTTCCCCAAAGCGATGCTTCAGCTTCAGAAGCAAGCCAAATCTTGTACCAGACGCCACCAGAGAAGATTTCCAACGAGCGAGGCACGTTCTCTAGCTCTATGCCTGCGACCTTGATCTCCCCAGCTCGCAGGTTCCTCTGGTTTTGTTCCAGCAAAACACCACCTAAAGCTCTTGTGATTTTTCCCAGAATCGATTCTTTCCAGAGGTTGAAGGGAAGCCCTAACAGTTTAATGGAGAAACCGCCTTCTTCTGGATCGACTTCATTGCAGATTGGGGCCCAGTTTT